TTATTCAGACAAAGCAACAGCCTACAGAATTGGCAAAGATTTTACCAACCCCACATCTGATAGAAGGCTAATGTCCAAAATATATAACAAACTCAAAAAACTAGATACTCAAGAAAAAATAACCCAGTTAAAAATAGGGTACAGATCTAAACAGAGATTCTTAAAAGAGGAAACCCAAATGGCTGAGAAACATTAAAAAATGTTCAACTTCCTCAGCCATCAGGGAAATGCAAATCAAACCTACATTGAGATTTCATCTTATACTTGTCAGAATGACTAAGATCAATAACACAAGTGACAGCTCATGCTGGCAAGAATGTGGAATAAGAGAAACACTCATGCTTTGATGGTGGGTATGAAATCTTTTACAGGTACTATCCTCGTCTCCTTCATTGTAGTTGCTCTGACATGTCCAGATCATTGTGGTGATTGTGGTGATCTCTCAGCAGGAAGGTGGCATAAGATCCTTTTCATGTGTGTGGCCTACTTTCCTGTTGTTTTCTTTTATCAGTGTGGCTGTCAAGTGTTTGAGATTCTTGACCACCTACTCAGGCTTCTGAAACAAAGTGATTGCTGTTGCTTTTGTTGTCCTTGCTCCATCTCTCAATCCCATCACTTACAATCTGAGAAACAAGGAAATGAAAGATGCTTTAAGGTGGCTTTTCCACCAGAAGAGAGCAGGTGGGGCTGGGTAGTAGATCTCTATCTTGAAAAATAAAATCCTTCTAGAAGTTCAGAATCTCACTGTTGCTTTTTGGGACCTGATCATGTTCCTTTTCTATTGTCAACAAATGCATGTTTTACTGCTGTTAACAGGCATGAGGAACTGTGCCTCTAGGTCATTGGTGGCCACTTGTCTACAGAGCACCTACCAGACTCACAATGCTGAAGCAGTATGTATGGATTCTCTTGCTTCAAGCACAATAGATTCTTCTCAATTTGCTAGCATTCTCCTGTCCTTCTCTTCTTTGATTCCCTGTGTCAATGAGGTCAAAGATCAGGTATGAGGCACACACTACACAAAATAGTTCTGGAAACTATTAATGTTTAGCCAAAACTTCTACCTCAAGTCATGGGAAGTCTAGCTTGGGTCCCACATCCAGGGCCTTGGCCTGGTCTGGCCACCCCTACCCGCTATGTAACCAACCTCTAGGCTTCTGTTAGAACCATGCTATCTATACCGAAATCCTCAGGCCTCTCTGATGTCACATCTAACTTTTCCACCCAGACAAATCTATCCCCCACACTTCTTCCATGGGTGAGGAAATACATCCTGTACACAAGTCTACTACCCTGTGTCCACCTGACTTCATCCCATCCAGGCAACTTCTAATCTTGAGGCTGGACCAACCTTCACATTCTCTCTTCTGCCTGAATTCTGTTCTGACCATATCAGACTTAAAACTAACAGAAGAAGTCTACATGCCCAGATCCCATCATGAAAATGCCATTATGAACGATCAAGCCAGTATCTTCTCTTTAAAGCATACCAACCCATAGACATGTTTAACAATGAGAATTACCTAGATGAACCCAGGACACATAATTAAAAGGGTCAATCATAAACTTCATCAAATAATTCAAGGAATTTAAAGAAGGCATAAAGAAATGGCTCAATGAAATTGAAAGGCTTCTTGTGACTGGAGTTGGGGGCTTTATGGATGATTTTCGGTTATTAGAGGGAGCATTGTCAGCCCAGACAGAAAATTTCATTTAAACTATGTATGTGTTTTTATTCACAGACTTACATGTGTTAAAAAACTTTAGGCAAATGTTACATATATACAAGCAACATTGTATAGACTGAGCAGGTTATATTTAAAAATATATGTGTACATACATATATGCATGTAACAACACTCAATAGAAAATAGGCCATGCATTGAAAAAGGAGCAAGGAGGGGTATACCGGAGGGGTTGGAGAGAGAAAGGGGAAAGCAGAAATGATGTAACTATATTGTAATCTCAAAAATAAAAGAAAATAATCTGTTACTGTTGATGTTTCCCCTTGCATTTCCAGCATGAACTCCTGTCATTCATTCATTATTCCTCAAATATTGTTTCTTGACACAAGAGAAAAATGTTTCTCCTTGTCCAGCTTATTTAGTCTTAAAACCCAGTTCTACAACCATAGACTGGCCATAGCATGATGTGAAAGAGAATTTCAGGCTCAACAGGCTTTCACAAAGATTTCTAACCTTTGTGGCCTACTATATCTCATGTCACCATTCAAAGATATTTTCTTTATATGCACTGTTTTGCAAATCAAAAAGCCCTGAAGTAAATTCATCAGAATCATCATTATTTCAACATTGAAACTAAATAAAATCTGGAACTAAAGTTCAAATTCATTTAATGATTTGATTAAAGTCATCTAAGTAGCTATAACATCTGCTTAGAATTTCCTACTTATTTATGTTATTCATTTCCTCTGTGTGTTGATGTTTGTGTGTGGCAGATGCTTACATTACACAAGGCTCATGTGAAAGTTGGTGAATAACTCTGAAGGGTGGGTCAGTTCCCTCCTGTCATTTTGTGGCATATGGGGATTGAACTTATGTCATCAAACATACATGCAAGTGCCTATGACTACCCAACTCTCTCACAGGACATAGTATTAGGCCCTTGGTGTCTCTATTGAATTTTTAGTCTCCAATAAATATGTCATTTTAGTTAATGTGCTTGGTTTTCAATGAATGACAATTTGAAATTTTTTTCCTCCAAGTATTTTAAGGAATCTTAGCAGTTTTCACTGTGTCCTGGAGTAGCTGGGTCTTTCCTCTCTGTGTTTTCCAGTCCTTCAATGACTGTGAATCATGGGAAAACCATTGAACAAAGGGATTCAAAGACAAGCATTTATAAAATTTTCAGCTATGAAGTGTCATAGGCCCTACAGGTGAATCCACTACCCTTACTCTAGTAAATAAGGATAGCATTAAAATGACTCCTAATTATTATCATTATATCCATAAATCAGTGTATCACTCAATCTTCATTAGAGCAGTTTCTTCTTGCAGTAGATGGTAACTAACACAGATACTCATAACTGATCAATGTGTAGAGAATAAATAGTGTGGAGTGTTCTGCCCTAAATGGTGTTCTATAACACACCCATTCTGCTTAAAGCTCAAGGATATATGCAGAAGAGGGGGCATAAATATTGCAAGAGTCAGAGGTGAAGGATGAGTTCAAGAAAACAGTGTTTTTCCAACACAGCAGGGCAGAGACACAGGAACTCACAATAACCATGACAACATGAACAAGATCTCAGCAAGCTTAAGCCAGACAGAATCCCACCATGGTGCAGGGGAGCTAGGCACAGTCTCACCCCTCGCTGATGATCTACTGCCATTTGATAGCTGCTGGGAAAAAGTTGATTTTCTGCAATAATATGAGGCCTGTTTTATAAACCACACTCAAGGGCAGGCCCTATGCCCAAGAGCAATTACCCTACAAAAGTTGGTCTCAATGAGTTTAAAAGAGGCAGGGGGGGACATAAAGTTGGAGAGGTAGGAAGCTGGGTACAGATTTGGGAGGAGTTGGGAAATATGATCAAAATGCATTACATGAAATTCTCAAAGGATAAATAAAAACATTATTAAAAATGTGCTGTGCTGAAATTGAGGAAGGATGGAGGGTGATTAGGAATTCTGAAGGGGTGGAAGTGTAATTATTGGGGGATACTCTAGATTTATTGAACTAGTATTCTTTTTAAAAGTATTCATTTTTAAACAATGTGTATATTTGCGCATCCGTGCATGGAGATGTAAGACATAATTGAGTCCCCTGGAACTGGAGTTATAGGCAGTATGAACCATCTGATGTGGGTACTGGGGCCTGAACTCCAGTCCTCTACAAAAGCAGAATGAACTTTAAAATGGTGAACCACCTCTCCAGTCACCTAGAAGCTTCCTTGTAGTCAAAGTTTGATTCTCCAATGACAAAAAAATATTCAGATGCATAAACATTTCTTGTACTGGATAGTAGGTAAATCCCCACTTTCTAGTAGTCATGTTACAGGAAATAGCCAGTTAAATAAAATAATTAGTGCAATGTAAGTCTGTTTCCTGACAATAGCCCACCTCCGACACTCTCACTCTTTATAAGGGATGTAGATATTTAGGATCACTAACAATGACACAGATGACTCACCAGAACAGAAACAACACACTTCATTCTTCTCACAAGGATGCTTTTTGACTACTTTATTCCTTTCTTTTGAGACATATTTTTGTTACATATATATGTACTGAATGTTATTATATTGCACATGTTTGTAGTAATATTATTCTAAATCTCAGACTAAAGATGAACCAGGTGGATTAAAATTATTAAAACTAAGAAAATAATATTTTACTAGAAACCATAAGCTAGAAATTATGTATCATGATTTAGAGATTCTTGTTGTCACTATCAAAAGCTTCTTATAAGAAAATATTATATAATGAAATTAAGATTCACAGAGATTGATTTACCTTGCCAAATCCAAGTAATTGATACATCATTCAATAAGCTATAATTTAGACTCAAATTTGTGGACTTTCAAATATATGCCCAATAGACCAGTGTTTTCTATATGAGAAAATTGTTAAGTAATCTAAGAAACATTCTTTTTTTGCTCCAAATTTTATTTAATAAATATCATTGTTTAAGATAAAATTAAATGATTTATGTTAAATCAAGTAAATTTGAACCTACGTGTATTAGGTAAGAAACATATTTGGCAGAATTTCTAAGCGTGATTCACAAATACCTGAGCTTAGAAAAATCACAGTGTCCCATGAGGGAGCGTGTATACTCTGCAGTCTCTGGGCTCAAACTGTCTGTGCCTCCAGCAGATATTGTAATGTCTCTGATAACACTGAAGGCCAGGCAGCCCTTCGTCACTTCAGTACCTGACATAGAGAAGAATGAGATGCTTCATTTCTCCTCTCCAACTCTTGATGATCCCTCAGCCATCATATCATCAAATCTGTCCTCGACCTTCATTCTGCTACCCATCATCCTAGCATCCCTGTTTTCATCAGCTGCCTCTTCAGGGCGTCCTTGATTTCCTTGTTGCGCAAGCTGTAGATGAAGGGGTTAAGGAAAGGGGTAACCACAGAATAGACTACTGCTAAGGCTCGGTCATAGTCAAGGGAGTAACTTTTCTTCAGCCGCACATACATGAAGAGGATGCTGCCGTAGAAGATGAGAACCACAGTGAGGTGGGAGGCACATGTGGAGAAGGCCTTCTTCTTGCCTGCAGCAGAAGGAATTCTGAGCACTGTGCGAATTATCTGTAGGTAGGAGCTGAGAATCAGCAGGAAGGTGGCCAGAATCTTGCAGGAGTTTACAATAAAATCTACCAGAACATTGACTGATGTGTCAGTACAAGCCAAGCTCAGCACAGGAGGGAAATCACAAAAGATGTGTTGAATATGGTTGGGACCACAGAAAGGAAGACGAGACACCAAGGAAATTTCTACTACTGGCCCAGCCAAGCCTCCCAACCAGCAGCCAATAGCAATCTTGGTGCACAGTGTCTGGGTCATGAGGGTGGGATAGTGGAGGGGTCTGCAGATGGCTAAGTACCTGTCATAGGCCATTGCTGTCAGGAGGTAGCACTCAGTAGCTCCAAGAGAGTGAAAGAAATAGATCTGCAGGAGGCATCCAGAAAAGGAAATTGTCTTCTTCTCACTGAGCAAGTTCGCCAGCATCTTAGGGATGGTGGCAGCTGTGTAGCCAAGCTCCAAGAAGGAAAGAATGCTGACAAACTTGTACATGGGTGTGTGGAGCCGAGAGTCCATGTGGACCACCAAGAATATCAGCAGGTTTCCCAATATTGTAGTGAGGTAAATGGCAAGCAACAAGAAAAAGAGATAAGTCTGGACACCTTGGAGGTGAGGGAAGCCCAAAATGATGAATTCTGTTACCTGGCTCCAGTTTCCAGTGTCCATTGCTCAATATTCACGTACCTATAAGGTAAGATCTAGAAGAGATAAGGGGGAAAGCAGCCATTGGTGCCCTATCAAGGAAACTTTCCATGCCTCCCCCTGACCTCTAGAGTAAACTTTCCCTAGCACATGCTTTGAGAGGCAAGCATTTCAATTCCATCTCCACCCATTCCTCCGGGCTTCAATATGTCTACCCAATAATTAGAACTCAACTGTCCTTTTCTGAGCAGTACAACCAAACTTTGGCCTTGCATCCTATTTGTGTTTCCTATTAATGGTGTATATATTGCCATTATGAAATGCTCATTGAATGTGTAAGAACATCACTTCTACTGGGAAGTATTGACAGTGTACCAGACCAAGGCTATGCAATTCCCATTATATTTCTTGCTTTCTAACTTCAACTTCTTTGCTCCATCAAGCTTTTGCCTCCAGAAACATCGATTCTTTTGCCCTACTTCCTTATATTCTCTCATGGAAGCAGATCGAACACCACCTATCTCCAATAATACCAGTCAGAATTTTAGGCCTCTCTTGGACACTAGTAAAGATTGCAGTGTAGACTAAGACGGTTTAAATAAATAAAGGAGACTCAGATAGACTGGAAGCAAACCATACACTTCCTTTCTCTCCTCGAAGATGGCCACTTCTTCAATCCTCCCTATTCCCAGTCTTAGTCATTGGTGGTGCAGATAATATATATGCATAGCCAATATAACTAAATATTATTGAATATTTTCTAAACATTATAACCAGACACAGACTCAGGGAATAAATAAAATATAGTGGGCAGTGCCAAGAAACTACTGTTTCTTTCTTTTGGTGTTTTTCCTTACTTTAGTTGTTACACAAAATTATATGTATTTGTCATGTATGACAGGGTGCTGTAAAGTGAAGAAGGATTGGACGCAGCTAGTTCACATAAATATTGTGTCAAATAGCTGTCATTTTGTGGTGAAAACGCTTGACATCTGTTCTCTTGGTATTTTAAAAAACACAGTGAACTGGGATGTTGAGATGGCTCACTAGGTAAATGAACTTGGTGCTAAGCCCAAAGATCTGAGTTTGATCCAGGGTCTCACATGGTAGAAGGTGAGAAGTGGATCCTAAAAGTTTTCCTCTGACCTCTACACCCTTGCTATGGCACACACACACACACACACACACACACACACACACACACACACACACGAATTTAAAAAGATATAATATTCTGTTATTAACTAAACTCACTCTGTTGCCCAAAGAGTTTAATATTCTAACTGAGGAAATAAAGAAAAAAGTACAATATTTTCTCAGGGTATTCTATCACTATATAAACATGACATTAATCCCGCTTAGTAAACAAACATGTATGCATGCACACTACTCCACACACAATCACAAACACCTCAATCCCCTAGTTCATAATACTTATATAATATTCACACAATTTGAAAACACTTTTCACTCACTTTTTATATCCCACTCACTCAATATAGTTTTAAAAAAAGGATTTAAGGGTTTCTTCTTACACTGTTGATTTAAAAATATTTTATAATTACTATTTATTTGATCATTTCTACCACTAATAAACATTGATGCAATGTTGGAAGTTCAGTGATCATCATAAATTTGAATTTCACTAAAGTGTTTGAATTTTTAATCAAATCTATTCCTATCAATTTATAACAACAGAAGAGCATTCAACACCACCTAAAGGAAGGGAGGATGAAGACAGTAGTATAAACCATCCACACCCTGTGCAACATCGCCTTGGACTGACTCAGACTGGTGAAGACTCTTATTCTCTTATACAGGAAGAAACCCATGTCCTCAAAAACTCCCACCAATGGGCATCAAACCCCTGCCAGCACTGATGGTGCCAGGTGGTCATACAACAGCCTTCTCTATTGTACAATGCATAGATTGATAAAACTCTCCCTTCTATTGACATGAAATCTGACTTTCAAGCACCGCTTTTATTCTGTGGAGTGACCATATCCTTTTGATGTAAGTCATGCTTTTAAACATTATCAACATTATCGTGTTCATTATTATCATCAAAATTTCACTGCCAGTAGCTCCCTGCATTCAATTTTGACTCCCCTGTTTATACTGTTCCTGCATTAAAACTTTGCCTCGTCCTAAGTACTCAGAAGACACCTAAATCTGCACTTACTCCAAGTTAACTTCTTTCTCTTGCTATCCAGGGTAAAATTAACATTTTCTGCTACTCCCAGTAGTCATGGGTGGTGGAAACCTCTCAGTGGGTAAGAACTCTTTCTTGGCAAGCTTGAGAACTTGAGTTGGGATGTCTAGCACCTGCATGAAAAGCCAGGCTTGACTGCTTGCATCTGTTACACCATCATTAGCAGGCAAAGACAGGTGGTTCCCAAGAGTGCACTGGCTAGCCACTCTAGCTTCAGTTTAATGACCTTGATTTAAACCATTAAGGCAGAGTGTGAGAGAAGAAAACACCCAACATCCCAGAATCCTGCTTCATGCTCATCTGTATACACACACACACACACACACACACACACACACACACACACACACACAAACACACACAGAGAGAGAGAGAGAGAGAGAGAGAGAGAGAGAGAGACAG